TTCCTATTCCAAGGTACCTAGAGCAAGTGGGCACATAGTGCAGTTTTGTAGTGGGAATGAGAATACTGTAGTTTAATTGTATAAGTTTGTTTTTGAACTGTCAAGTGAACCACAACAGTCACAAGACAGGTTGGTGGGGGGGTGTATGTGTATGTTTCTGTGAACAAAAAAAATAGAGGGAACTTAGGTGCCTAGCACAAGACTGTGAATTCTGCCAGGCAAACAGAAAATTAGGAATGGCAGCACTCAGCCTCGTCATACCTGGGTGTTTTTATGAATCTAGGCCACAGGCCGTTTCAGCAAAGCACAGCCTTAACATTCAGTTGGGCTCTCTACTGCTGTCTGCATCTGAAGCTACTTTTAGGATCAGGGCCTAACTTTCAGACCCTCACTTTCTGAGATATTGTATTGTTGTATTAGAGCAGGGGGGTGTCAAACTCATGATGAGCAAGCAGCACAAAGCCAGGCTGTGGGCTGGATCCAAAATGCAGAGCTGTGCCATCTGACCTGTAAGACTGGCTGCGAGACCAGAAATTTTGGCAGTGGGATGAGTGCTGAGCTCCCACGGCTCATCCTACCACCAAATTCCTGGCTACATGGGCAGGCCCATGGGACAGAAGACACAGCTCTGCACTATGGATCTGCCTTGTGAGGCCAGAAATTTGGTGGTGGGACAAACAGTAGCAGCATTAATTGCAGCAGCTCTGAGAGTCATGGCAATTAACACTTCAGCCACTTACCTTCCTGCCAAATTTCCAGCCCCACAGGCCAGATCTGGTCAGTAGGGCAGATCATTGACACCCGTGCATTAGGGGGTTCTGTGAGGACATATCACTTACTTTTTGGAAGTACTTTGATGCTCTGATGAAGGGAGCTAATGGACTTTTATTTGAGCAGTTTGAGAGTACTTTGTGAGCTATATCATAGTCTTCCATGTGGCATGGATAAACTGGATAAATGGTTTAAAAGTAGATTAAATTCAACAAGTACAAAGCCTCCTTGCATGCACAAATACAGACCAGGGGATGGCTGGCTAGGCTGCAATACTAGAGAAGGACCTGGGGACCAGAAGCTGAATATGAGGCAACAGTGTGCTCCTGTTGCAAAAGAATAAAAATAAAAAATGCCAACAGCCTACTGAGTTGTATTAATAGAAGTGTCACTTGCAAATCAAGCGAAGTAATTCCTCTGCACTATCTGGTGCTGGTGAGGCCTCACATGGAGTATGGTGTTCAGTTTTGGGTCCTGCACTTCATGAAGAATCTGGACAGATTAGAAAGAATTCTGTGGAGAGTGAGAAAAATGATCAGAGGCTTGGGAAACATGATTTATGAGGAAAGAATCAAGGAATTAGGGATATTTCATTTGGAGAAGAGGACTAGGGGAGAGGAGGGTGCTCACTGATGGTCTTTAGACATCCAAAGGGCTACTTATTAAAAAGCTGGAGATTAACTATTCTCTGTGGACACAGGGGACAGGACTAAGATCAATGGCCTCAAATTGCAGCAGAGGCAATTTTGGCTGGAGATCAGAAAGAACTCTTCTAGTAATTGAGGGTGGTCAAGCACTGGAATAGGCTACCTAGGGAAGTTGTAAAATCTCCATCCCTGGAAATCTGTGGGAGCTTGTTAGGTTAGTCAGTGGTCTGGATTAAAAGACCTTGAGATCCCTTTCAGTTTTATTTTCTTACATTCCTATATTTTGATGGTTATGTCCATTGCTGTGCACCTTTTTATCTATATATTATTTTCTACAGATATTTCTTTAGTCCTCTATTTGTGTCCTTCCTATGCTTTACAACCCCCCCAACCCCCCCCCAAAACCACTCGGCAATTCTATCCACTGTCTATTCCTATAAGTGAAAGCAATCACTTGGCATGTTTTAGTCTCACTTTCTCTATATCTAGAAGTTTTAGAGCAGTAACAGCTGATTCTGAGTTTTAGGTAGGCACGTATAGCTGAGTTATAGATACGAATGGAATACGAGATTTTGTAGAGATAAACTAAGAGACACGCACATCCCTGACACTAGACTTCATGAGATGGAAGCCAAAAACAACATTAATAAAAAATATTCAGAACCAAGAATTACACATTTTCATGGCTATTCCCAAAAGGTTTATAGAACAGCTTACAAACCAGAAAAGAGACTGTTCTCAGTCCTCCACACAGACACCTTTGCACCTCTGAAGAGCTCTGTTACTTTTGATGTTCAAGGCCTAAGTACAAAACTGATGTTAGGCACAGGGCGAGATACAGATCAGCAGGCAGCAAACTGGATTTTAGGAAACAATGAATTCTTCATTAATCATCAAGAGTGTGAGTTTAGCATTGACTACCTCAAATTGTCCCTTTGGACAGTGTAACATTTTTTTCTAGGGTATATTTTCAGTCAATCACCCACACCCACACACCCCCCTCTTTATGCAAACTTTACTGAGCATATAAAGCATACTTATTTGAAAGGGGTTATAAATTGGTCACATCAAAACTAAATTTCACTGGAAATTTGCTGTGTTAATTTTCAGCATTTTACTCCCAGCCATTTCTGCTTTAGGGCTATTTAAAGTAATACATTTTGTTTAAACAGCCAAAAAAGTAAGTTGTTTTACTTCCTCAATCTCCTTTCACTCAAAAGTAGGTTGAAGAGCTTCTTGCTCAAGCTTAAAAGTACCACTAGGTCTATTCACTTCTGTGGCAGTAAGGCTGAATTAAGTCTGGAATTTACACAGCTATTCAACCACCCCAACATGCTTCATATTATTTCCCTTTTAAACACCCAGTTTAAAAAACACTAGTTCACCACAGCAGCAATTCATGTTGTTTTAGGCTGGCAACTGCCTTTTACAGCTGTGGCACAGCAATAAAAGAAAAAATGAGCAACAGCTGGATTATCACTTAATGCAAAATTGGTTCTTAGCCTTGCATCCCCTCATGGTTTGAAGGGCAACAGTGGGTGCATCTACATGTGCAATTAATGTAGACCAATAAACTGCAGAGCAAATTGCTCTGGAGTTTATTCGTGTATACCATTTGGAACCCTATCACAGCAATCTAGGCTGGTCTAGGTCAGCTTGCCAGCCCAGGGCTACAAGTAGGCTCCACGTGCTGCAGGAGGGGCTGGCTGGGGCATAGGGTACATGAGTGTAGGGCTAGTCGGCAGGCAGCCCCTGTGCTAGCCACCCTAGCCAGCTACAGTGGCACATGGAGCTGGGGAAGCAGTTAGCCTGGGGCTGGCTGCTCCCCCATGTCCACATGCTGGGAAGCAGCTGGTTGAGGCACAGGGTGCCCCTCACTCCCAGCCCACTCATCAACCCACATCCTGGCTGAGGAAGGAGGCAGGGGGAGCTTTGATTTTCCATGATAGAAAACCCAAAATCAAATGCCAAAATGTATAGGTATTTAGAATTTATTTTATTGTAGTGTCTGAGGCACTGGTAGGCTTGCTTTAAAATTGTAAATATATCAATATAACATTTTTTTAAACTGATAGCTATATGAGTGGCGTATCATTTAAACTGTGGAAAAATGCAGATTTTGTTTTCTTTTAAATTGGAGAATTTCTGTTTTTTTTAACAGAGAACTCCAGGATCCCTGGAGTACCATCAGTACTCCATCAGATGGTATGGTTCTCTCTGAAAATTAGGTTAGTTTCCTTGGAATGTAATTTTAACAGAGAAAGTCCCAAAACAGAAGAGATTCTACCCACCCATTTTCACTGAGATTTTCAAAATGTTGTTTTAATTCCAGTTAAACCAAACTACAAAACTCTTCACAAAGTAGAATTTCTGGCTTTCACTCAGATCTAGTTAACAGCAAATTGCTGTCTCCTGGAGGAAAGCAAAGGGCAGGGAGGGAAGTTAGGCTTCCTAAACCATGCTTTCTTTCTTAACAAGGCTAAAGACAAGTATGCCCTTTGCCAGTCACTCAATTCCTTGATTTTTTTTTCACCTTTTTGGTTTCATGCATTTCAAACTTGGTTGCTTCAGATGCATGATATTTTTATGCATATTGACATGAAAGTTTAAGAACAATTTTGGGGGTCAGGGACAACACCACATTTAGCATTATAAAAATTATTATTATTATTTTAAAACTTTTACCCAGTTGAAATGACTACAGATAAAGTAGAAATTTCCTGTGAACGGAAGTCTTGCAAAGAAACTGAACTGTGATTTGACTGAATTATATTATGACCCTTTGAAAACAGCATTTGTGCTTCTGGGAAGTTACTAAGGATTGTATTAGGTCAGTGTTATAAACAAAATAGAAAACTAATTTTATAATTTTGCTTCCATGCTTAGGGTTATATATAACAACATTTACAATTGTCTTCATAAATGAACTCACTCAGGTGGAATACATTTCATTGTGGTGAAGATTACATTTTATTTGGTAATCACATTTGTCTGAAAAGAAAAGTGAAGATGCTCATTCACAGTACTTGTTCTCTGGTGAGGTTGGTTCCTTTCATTGTGTACAATCTGTATCTATATATAAAAAACAATGCTGTTTAGTGTCAGAACAGAGGCTCTTGGTGAGCTTTACATAGAGTTCTGTTTGAAGCATACCGTTTCAGCTCCAAGGCTAGTAACACATGAACATTTGCTGCCTGCTGTTTTCTGTTTTGAACTTCCTTCTTTAGGCACTGGATATTCACAAAATGCTATTTTTTTTAACACTATGACAGATCCGACTGACATTAATTACTGGACCTATGGTCCTCTGTTTAAAAATAAATGAGTAGTTTGTCTTACCATTGTTTTACTTCCAAATTAAATATGGCATGTTACTGAACCAGAAATGGGTTAACTCTCACTTGTTTAAGGTTCAAGACATTTTTGGAGTTAATAATACAGAGTATATTAAACATAGTGTTAATAGCACTATTAAACTGGAATGTCACAGCTCTGCTAGTGTAAGGTTGCCAATCATTAATGCATGCATCTCTCTGTGCCTGTTTCAAGTAGGTGATTGTTTAGTATGACTTAATGAGGCAGAATCCCAGTATGTAGTATGTGAGAGATTACACAAACAAGGTATAATTAAGCTAAATCAGACCTTAAGTGGGAGGATTCTTACAAAAAGCCACAGGAAGCTGCTTGGATAGTATAAACAGCCCCTCTCCTGGACGCATAGTCTCTCTTACATGTTTGTATAGTGCCTAAGACAAGGGAGAGCCTGCAGGCATCACCCCATTACAAGCACTCAGATAGATGTAGCAGCTAAAATAAATAGCTGCTCAAGTTGCCATCTCCAGAGTATGTTGTGAAGCTTCTGACCTTTAGTTCCCAGTCATCAGGAGAGATCTTTCAGCACCTTCCACCAGGAGAGGGGTGTTAATGCTCATGCATGGTTGAATTCTACTATGTGAAAATGCTTTGCAAGGTGCAAATTCCCCCCCTGAAGCCCAACTGCTATCACATGGTTTGCTCTGTTTCCCCAAGTCCTGTTCTGGTAGCAACATTCTAGTGCTTGCAGGTTAGGGATTGCTAGGAATAGGTTGCTCAGTTGTTTTAAAACCAACCTGGATTTTTTTCTTCGGTATTAAAAACACTTATTTCAGTAGCTAACTTCTTCCTCACTGTACAAAGCAGAGGAAGACAAAGCACTTACCCCTGGAACTTGCAAATGAAGATGACAGCCAAACTAATTCAGATTAACAGCTTTGGTTTGGTTCAAGAGCTAGCTGGGCTGCTGGTGGGTTAAAGAGCTTTATAAATAATGGCACTGCTCCTTGCTGCATTCTCAGCAGACAGGCTAACACTAGAGGCACAGACAGAAGTAACAATTTTCTCCCTATGTGGCCCCTGGAAATGCTTTACAGCCATGACCCAAAATGGGTACATGGTTGCAGAGCACTTTAAAAGGGCCTGATCCTGCAACAGTCTGAACCCTCATTGCATGAGGGTTCAGATGAAAGCCCTCTAAAGCGCAGTGCCTTCATTAACTTCTGTCTGTGTGCTGGGAGCGCTGGTCAGTTGATGCAGCCCAATAGTGCTCCTTTCAGAATGGGGAGGGAGCTCGTTCTGGGGCTTGCCCAGCTGTCCCTGGAGGGCGGGATAGGTAGGTTGAGCCTTCCTGGCATTCCTCAAGGTGGGGAACTCCAAACCACCCACCCCCATTTCAGACAAAATGGGAAGGGGGGGGGGGCAGAGCTAGGGGAAGAGGCTGAAAAGACACAGCCTCTCCCCCTGGATCAGCTCCAAATTGGAGCTTCCTAACCAACAGATACAACCCAGCTTTAGTAGTTTCATTGTAAGACAAAATGATACTTCAATGCAGGCCAAAAGAAAATGGTCCTTAACGTTGATGACCAAAAGCAGCTGTCATTTCCTAGAAATGAAGGGAGGTAGGATCCACTAGAGCACCATTTAGGAGTTGTGCCTGTTTTTTTTTTCATATAGATATGAGGTGGAAAAATGAAACCAAATGTCTTTCACCCTTCTATTCCAATCCTGAATTTCCAGGGGAATTTTTGATTGATCTACAATTATTAGCATTGTAAGTGGGGGTCCTAATTTTCAACTGCCTATTCTTTCTTAAGTAGCATCCATTTTGTTGGATTCCAACACAGATGATGATTAATAGTACCATCTTTTGACTTGAACTACAGCAGCCTTGGCAGCTTCCAAAAATGAAGTTGTGGCAGTTTTTTTTCACACAGTTTCTCAACTTTGAATGAAACTGGATTAACTGAAGAAGAGAACCCTGAAGTGCTTTTCCTAGTTTCGGCTGCTTCATTTTAATACGTTTCCACTGGCAGATTTGTACAAACCAATGCAATGAAAAAACTTTGAAAATTCTGTTGTTGAGACTGTGCACTGCAGTAGTAAAAAAAATACTGTTGGATTGAAAAACATTTTAATGACCTTGCTTACACAGATGTTCCACTTACAGTTTGTTGTTAAGGTGCCTTAAAGGTCAAGCCATAGAATCCACTGCTTCTGCTTTGGCCTCATATGGTATGTCAAAATTTTACACCACTAGAGAGAGCAAGGGATGGGTTCCGCGCCATTAGTCTCACTGTTTGAACTACCTACTATGTACTTCGCTCTCCGATTTCTCCGTATCCAACATGAAGCCATGTTCTTGAACTCATATTTACATACTAGAATTTTGTTCATGTAAAATTGTAATTTTTTTTGCATTCCAATAGTAATTAAAAAATATAAAAAATAAAATGAGGTAAAAGGCTACAGAAGAACAGGAAGTTCCTGGAGGCTAAAATTATAGAAACATGTCAACTCCATCATGACAATCTAAACCATTGCTTATTGCATTCCATTCTTCACATTCCAGTCTTCCACGCAGCATCATACACAATTACTTCTCTCTCCCCCCCACTACTTCAGTGATAAAATATATCACCCTACGCACTTTACTTCAGAAAGTATTAGCTAAAAAGACTGGATGGAAATGTTAAAAGACTGGATGGAAATGGTGCCTAACACATTGATTAAAAATTTTAGGAACATATAAATCCGATGTAAATTCCAAGCATGAGGCTACTACCAGATCCAAGTAGTTTCAGTTACAGAAACAGCATACATAACGCTATCAAATGACTTCCAGTACAAAAAGGACAAAGATAAAATGATTAAACTGCAGAACTTTTGTAGATTTTTAGGCATCAATGTGAAAGGCACTTTTCAGGTCACATGATTTTAATACAAAGCAATTCAGCCTGGGTATTTCAATGACTCCTTCAGTTCCTATGCATGTGGTATCCACTGACTGCCCAGTCCTGCACTTCTCCACTGGCAAATAATGCAAAGAAAATTGCTCCAAATAAGTTAATAGAAGCAGCAATATAGAAGACAGTCTGCCATTCTCCCATAGTATTCTGCCAAGAGAAGGAAAAAAAAACAGAAGAGAAGTAATCAGTTTGCAGGTCTATATTTTAGAATGAACTAATTAAACTGATAGGCAGTACATATTCTTCCTTTTAAAAATTAATTACATTTATACAAGTGCAGTTTTATATTGACATCAAAAACATTACAAAAACATAACAGGTCCAATTAAAGATCTACTGCATTTTAATTGCATGTGACTTGCAATGACATTCCAACAGTGCTGTGATAATGGCTGGCTGAGCCAACTTGTCATTTAACAAGCAGAAACATCCTCCTCATGTATTATTTCAAAACTAAATAGGGGCTAACCAAATACTAAGAGAATGTCATCTTAAGGGAAAAAAATTACTTAGCTTTCAGACAAAGAGCAGAAATCTCTCCTATGCTTTTTGCCAACTAGTTTTACTATTAGTTACAATGTATTTATTATTCCAGATGTAAATTTTAAGTCAGTTTTTCAGCCACACGCTGACTTTAGCCCCAAGTCCTTCCAACCTCTGAAAATAATCAAATTATAACAAAATGTCCAAAGGTGTGTCAGTAGAACCAAGGGTAAAGTTTCTTATATAGAAAACCCTCACGAAGCCAGCTGAGGCTGAAAACCACTAACAAAAACAAAAGTGGTTAAATTGTATATAACTGTAGAGGTTTCAAGGTTAAAAATAATTTTAAAATAGTGGTAATTTTGCAATCTTACTGGTAAATAGAGGGGAAGGATAACAGAATAATGTAAACAACAGAATAAGTATGTAAGAGAATTTTGTGAAGCTGTCCCAAAACTGATCTGTCTGACCTCACAGCATTAAATACTGCAGTATTATTTCAAGGCAACAACTGGTGTAATTGATTACTAAGGCAGGCACTTCACCTATTGTACTAGATACTCACTGCCCACCTCGCCTTCCTAAAACAGTGGTTTAAAATCAGGAGTGCTCAACCTCTGGCCCATGAAGCCGTGTCATCTGGCTCATGGAGTCTCACGATGTCTGGAAATTTGGTGGTGGGGGAGCAGTGCCAGTGTTAATGGCAGCAGTTTCGTAGCTCTCCTGCTGCCAAATTTCCAGATCTGCGAAGGTCTCCACAGGCCACATTTGGACATGTGGGGTTGCATCAGGCCAGTCAGTGCACCACTGGACTGACTCCATGCCACTCATTTGGCCCGTGGGCCCGGAAGATTAGGTACCTCTGGTTAAAATAATTCTGCATATAATTCTAAAATTATAATTTCAGGTAATTTTTTCACTGACCAAATAGTTGTAGGATCTATACAGATTAGATGCCCATCTAAGACAAGTATTTTAGCATACTAATCCCTAAATATATACAAAGACTTGCACATTGTAAATACATACACTTGAAAGTTGTTTCTTATTGGTTAAATTGGCAAATTTTAAATTCAGGAGTCACTAGCTTACTTAGAAATCCATGGTTCTTCCATAACTAACCAAAGCAATATTTATCTCAACTTGCTAACACACATTAATACTAGAACACCTTTGTCTGTACTAGGATTTTAACACAAATGTTAAAGTTAGCTGACACACAGATGTTAACTAACTTTTCATTAAAAAAATATTCCTTTTCATAGGGAAGACAAAGCCCAAGGCACTGACTGTTAGAACCTTTGCAACTGTTCACAATGCAACTTCAGATTTTACTATCAATATGATAGTCACTTTAATAACCAAAGAGGAAGACTGGCATCTACATAGTAAGTCTTAATCCTTAAAGAAAACATGATCTAAGGAGGGAGAATCTCTGTATGACAGTATTCAGAATTTCACTGGTAAAACAACCAGCAAGTAAACTTACATGATGAGTCAGGAGTTTGGCAATCACTGGCCCCACCATTCCTGGGATAGTGGCAAATGAATTTGTGATTCCAAGGAGGATCCCAGCATACCTGTTTAAGAAATTACTCAATTTATTTAATGCATTCTAATATTTGATGACATTGCTCATTGCATGAGCCATTCCACCTGGGTCCATGGTCCTTCATATTGCACAAGCTAAATTACTTACTGGTATGGAAAAATCCCCATGTATTTTCAGATGCACTTAGTGACGCTGTGATGCATGTGACTGATTTATATACTCATTAGCTTACAGTTCAACCAAAAAAAAATTTCTACAACCTTACCTGGCCATTCACACCAAAGACCTCTTCACTCTTGACTACCAATTTGTCTGAGATGGAGCTACTGGAGAGGTTCAGAGAAGAAAGGTGCTGGTGGGTCAGCAGATGTAGAAGGGTATGAGCTGATGTCAGAGGACAGAGGTTCCATTGCTAATAAAGTAGTGGCATTGAGGAGGATGGGACTTACTTTTTATTGCAGAATAAAGTTCCACCAACTCTGCCTTTCACAATACATGCTCTGTTTATGCCCATGTAAATCAGAAGGCAACAATGGTGGGTGGATTTGACTGTGGTTCACCCACTAGTTACCAGACCCACTTTTGCAGTTCCATTTTGTGGCATTTGGATCTGGATCCTGGTGTGGATCCATTTGGATCTGAATCCTGGATCTACTGTGCTGCTCTTTCCATACAGGCCAGCAGCCTTACTTAAGTAATGACTTCCTGTGTAACCCTGGGAAAGTCGCTTAACCTTTTTTTGAGTCTCAGCTTCTTCCCATACCTATAAATCAGTTCACATATCTTTGTGGACAGCAGGGCATAATTATAATCATGTTTCAAAGTACAGTGCAGTTGCAGACTAGTGGCAGAAGTGCAACTAGAAATGGAAACGTTAGGCTTCCTGTTCAAACCATGAAATAAGGGTTCCCTGCAGGCAACAGCTCACATGGCATTTGCTGGTTACAGAACCCTACTAAATCAGAGGGCAGCCACAAAGGGAAAGAAGAACTTACTGCACCACTTTGCTGAAACATGCCACTCTGTCCCACGTGCATGGCCTCCTGAATCAGAACTTAGGTGCTGTGCTGTAGGAGGGCTAATTATCCCTGTTGAGAGGCAAAATGAGTTAGCCCAAGAGCAGCACATGCAAGCATGGCTATGTTACTTCTGGGTTAGGATGCAGCACACATGGAACAGTCCAGTATATTAAACCACAGAGCTATCTGGTGATAAAGTAGTAAAGACCAGGAGTGCTCAACCCCCAAGCCAGAAACATGTCATCTGGCCTGCAGAAGTCCTCTGGGGTCCAAAAATTTGGCAGTGAGAGAGTGATAGCAGCAACTGCCACACTCCAATGCCAAATTTCCAGACTCATGGGAAGCCCTGGGTACAGGTGGCCCAGGGCCTGATCTGGGGGACACAGGCTGACTAGAGGTGTTGTGGGCCCCAATCCAGCAGCTCAGGGCCAATGGAGGTGGTAGGGGGCCCAATTTGGCCTGTGCAAACAAAAGGTTGAGCATCACTGGTGTAGACAATATAAGTTCAATAGTGAACAAAGATTTAATCTTTGGAACCTAAAACCCTCTTACAGAAACCTCTCCAGTTGAATCTACAACTCTTTCCTGGCTGAATACCTCGCACTTTCAGTGGTTTCTGATATGGGTTGCATCCTTGATAATACAAACAGTTAGATACAGATAACCACACTACCACTCCCTGCCCATGGGGAAGAATCCAGCAGGACACAAAACTAAATGTGACATGTCTGCAGAGCCAGATGGTCCACGAAGCTGTTGACTAGGTTCTTCTATGACAGAGTAGTGGGGAATGAAGGAATAGAAAGAATTCACAGATTAACTACGAGGCCATATCTGGAGTACAACAGAAGATGCATGATGCATTCAGTGCATGACTTGTAAAAACATGGCTTTGTCATAATTTTTTAATATCTCACTCATCTTTTTGGTAATGTGACTGTAATGAATACAAGTGAACAACAATTACCAGACTGATACCAATTACTTACAACTTTGCCAAGGTTTATCCTGAAAATTGCCATGGTTCCACAGTTACCTGTGTCACGGTTTACAGCAGGGGTAGGCAATTATTTGGGCTGAAGGGCCAGCAGTAGCTCTTCAAAACTCCCTAGGAGTGGCTCTGTTCTGGGTCCCAGGCCTTCACTGTCACCACCTCAAGATCCTAGTCTTAGGGTCTCCGTAGAGACCAGCCCAGGACCTGTGTGGGGAGGGTGTGGTTCAGCTAGGTGGATGGGTTGGAGCCACAGGTGGGCAGGAAGCAGGGCCCAGGAGCTGGAAGGACAGAGCCAGGGCCATAATCTTGGGGTGACATTACAGGGCCAGAGCTGTGATCCACTCCCAGCACACCCTGCCCACGAAACTGGTGTTCATCACAGGGACATGCAGGCAGTGGATTGTGGCTCTGTCCTGGGCCCCAGCCTTGTGCTGTCGCGGCCCCAAAAATCCCAGCCCTGGCTATCCTGCTCCTGGACACCAATCCCTGCCCACTCACAGACCCATCCCACCCACCCAGCCAAGTGCACTCTGCTTGTGTGGGTCCTTGGTCAGTCTCCATGGAGACCCCACCTGCCTGCTCCATCTGGCAAGCCAGCAGTGGGTACAGAATAGACAGGCCAGAGTGCCCGGGCAGCAGGGCTGGGGCTGGCAGCAACTGTGACACTAGTGGTGGCAACTGGAAGGAGCTGCTGCTATGCGACCCCAGCCCCACTGTGAACCTGGGGACAGTGGGACCAGATGCATGTGTCATGACTTGGGCTGCCCCCTGTGCCTGTACGTAGGGCTGGGGGACCTGTTGCAGGGCGGATAAAATCCCTCGGTGGGCTGGATCCAGCTTATGGGCTGTATTTTGTCCACCTCTGGTCTACAGAGAAAAGGAATTTTCCTTCTGAAATTTAAGTAATCCCCTACATTGAAGTCACATTCAGCATACTCCATTTTATGACAAATATTTCCCCTACAACTGTCTCTCTAGCTCTAGGTTCCTGAACTGAAAGCATGGTGCCTATCTGTCTGCTGGGCCCAGCCAGTGCTGAATGTAGAAGGGACAAGATTGGGATCTGCAGGAAGCACAAGGACGCATATATTGGGTTAAGAGCAGGGGCGAAGGCAGACTGGGACTAAAAATCAGTGGGGCAAAATGAAGGAGCCAAGAGAGAAGGGGAGAAATCTTGAAGAGACAATGTGTATGTGTATGGTGTGAGGGGAGTGAGGACTGGGAAAAGGATCTGAAGAGGAAGGCAAGGAGCCTGGATAAGGAGAGCAAAAGGAGATTAAGACTGGGAGCCAGTAGAAATTAAAAATGGGGGATGGCTGGAGACTGAGGTGGGGCCAAGAAAGGCATATGTGATGAGGACCCGAGAAAGGGAAACACTGGAGTTGCTTGGGCAGGGACATTGAGGCTAGAAAGTCCAGAGAAGTGAGATGTGCTTGCCAGGGAGACTACTTGAACTGAGAACAGTTAGAGGGGGTGACTGGAAAGAAGTGAGAAAAAATGTGTCTTGACAAAAAGCCACATGGAGAAGATTGGAGGGACTGAAGTCATGCTGAAGAGAAAGGAGCAAAAGAGGCTGGTGGAACCTGAGTCTAAAAAAGACTTACATTTGAGGAGGTTCTAGTTGATCCTAGTCAAAACCTGGAGCCAATAAGAGCGAAAATAAGAGGAGTACAACCCTTTACACAAGCAGCGTGGATGGCAGTTCATTGGAATGAGCCTTAATTGTTCCTGAAAAAGTAGTCAATACATTTTATCTTGCATACTTCACAGGTACTGAGAGTGGGACAATAGGCTTCTGTAGGATCCCAGGACAAAAGGCTCTCAGCTGATAGAGGCTCAGGCTTCCCTGGGAAGCCAGTCTGGAGGGGAGAGGAGTCCAGGAGAGATGGCTGTACTTAAAAGAAGTGTTGCTGAGACTGCAGGGACAAACCATCCCAATGTGCAGAAAGACTAGCAAGTGTGGCAGAAGACCAGCGTGGCTTAGTAGGGAACAGACTCTTCAGTAAACTAAATCACAAAAGGGAAGCCTATAAGAAGTGGAAATTTGGACAAATAACTAGGGAAGAATATAACAGCATTGCCTGGGTATGCACGGATGAAGTCAGGAACACCAAAGCGCAACTGGAGTTGCAGCTAGCAAGGGATGTGAAGGGTAAGAAGGGTTTCTACAAGTGTTTTGGTAGCAAGAGGAAGAGCAGGGAAAGTGTGGGTCGCTTACTGAATGGGGGAAGCAACCTTGTGACAGAGGGTGCAGAAAAGGCTGAAGTGCTCAATGGCTTTTTTGCCTCAGTCTTCACAGGTAAGGTCAGCTCCGAGACTACTGCACCAGGCAGCACAGTCTGGGGAGGAGAGGAACAGCGGCAAAATAACAGGTTAGGGACTATGTAGAAAAGCTGGATGTATACAAGCCCATGGGGCAGGACAGGATGCACCTGAGGGCGATGAGGGAGTTGGCTGATGTGATTGCAGAACTGCTGGCCATCATCTTTGAAAATCCATGGCAATCAGGAGAGGTCCTGGATGACTGGAAAAAGGCAGACATAGTGCTCATATTTAAGAAAGGGAAAAAGGAAATCCAGAGAACTACAAACCAGTCAGCCTCACCTCAAGTCCCTGGAAAAACTGTGGAGCAGATCCTCAAGGAATCAATTTCTAAGCACTTGGAGAAAAAGGTGATTTACCAAGTGATGTCTGAGCAAGCTGATTGCCTTCTCTGATGAGATGACTGGCTCTATGGATGCAGGGAGACCGGTGGATGTTGTGCACATTTATTTTAGCAAGGCTTTCGATACAGTCTCTCACAACATTCTTGCAGGCAAGCTAAGGAGGTACGGACTGGATGAATGGATTGTAAAGTGGATAGAAAACTGGCTGGAGCATGGAGCTCAAAGAGTAGTAATAAATGGCTTGATGTCTAGGTGGCAGCCAGTATCAAATAGATTGCCCCAGATATCAGAAAAGATATCAGATATCAGCAGTGAGGGACGGTAGCTGTGGGGGGCTTGCGCACAGTGACCGCTGCTGCTTCCCTAAAGAGCTGTGCCAGCAGTGGCAGCTGCTGCATGCAAAACCTCCGCACTGCTACTGTCACCGCGGAGCAATGCCTGTGAAGCTCTGTGGCTGGCCACAGCATGGCAGCGGCAGTGTGGTGGTAGCTGTGACTGCCGCACACAAGTCACCCTGTCTGTGGGCTCAGCTCCTTAAACAAGCAGCAGCGGCGGCATGGGATGGTGGTGGTGGTTGCACGCTGCCCAGCCGGATAGCAGGGGTGTTTCGCGTGTGGCGGCTGCCACCACCTCATACCACCACTGCTGCTTGTGTGCAGAGTCAGGCCCACCAATGGGGGGCTCACGTGCAGCATGGCTCCACAGGCAAGCAGCAGCGGTGGGGGCTGCTGCGTGTGAGCCCTCCCCACCCTCCACAGCCACCATTCCTCGCCGCTGCTGCCAACCCCTGGCCATGGAGTTGTGCAGCCGGCTGCATGTGAGCCCCCCACCTCCCTCTCCCTGGCCAGCTGGCTGGGCAGCATGTGTGCAGCCTGCACGTGGTGGATACCACCACACCACGCCCTGTGTTGCTTGCCCACAAAGCCCCCCCACCAGCTGGCATGCAGCTGCCACCACCATCTCGCACCACTACGGAGCTGTGCAGCCAGTTGTAGGGCATAAGCGACCGTGTAGTGATGGTCACTGCATATGAGCTCCCCCTTCCCCCCATAACCAGGAGGCACATACGTGGCCCACACACAGCGGCCGTCACCGCACCGCTGCTCCCGTGCCGCGCTTGCCCACAAAGCCGTGCAGGTGGCCATGGGATGGTAGCACAGGGTGTAGTGACAGAGTTGCAGGGGCAGTCTCTGTATGCGAAAGCCTTGTCAGGCCAGCCAGCGCATGGGCAGCGTGCAGAATGGCACCCCTGCCCTCACCCCTGGCCCTGCTCCTGGGAGTGGGCACAAGGGCATACTCCCCCACTTTGATTTGCACCCCTCAACAACTTCCCTTTCCCCCTCCCTGCCACACACTTACCTGGTGGGGTGGGTGTCAGTGTCTGTGGGTTTGGGGGACTGTTGTGGGGGACTGAGGGGAATCAGGAGGGCTGAGGAGGCTGTGTGTGTGGGGGGGAGTGCAGGGCACCAGCAGTGCTGGGGGGGTGGGCTTTAATTTTTATCACGGATTTTGGGTTTTTAAATCAGAGAATTTGCCATTTTTAAAATCAGAGAAAACCAGGATCCCTGCTTATGAGAGGCTGAGGGAACTGGGCTTATTTAGAGAAGACTGAGAGGGGACTGAATAGCAGCCTTCAACTATCTGAAGTGGGGGTCAAAAGAGGATGCAGCTAGACTCTCAGTGGTGACAGATGACAGAACAAGGACCAATGGTCTCAAGTTGCAGCCAAGGAAGTTTAGTTTAGATATTAGGAAGAATTTCTTTCACTAAAAGGGTAGTAAAACACTGGAACAGGTTACCCAGAGAGTCAATGGAATCTTCATCCTTGGAAGTTTTTAGGACCCAGCTAGACAAAGCTCTGGCTAGGATGATCTAGTTGGGTGGGTCCTGCTTTGAGCAGGGGGCTGGACTAGATGACCTCCTGAGGTCCCTCCCAACCCTAATTTTCTGATTCAATGATTCTATGAAATGCAATTTTTTAGCTCAAGATTCTTTCATCTTGACACTATTCTGCTGCCAGTAAATATCTGTAAAATCCTCTGGCAAAATGTCTTATCTTGCTTTACTGATGATCCACATAGAGCATGACAATGTACACGTGCTGTCAATTTCCTGTTAGCTCAAGTGGCAGATCTTGCAAGGTGATCTAATCTAAAGCTTGAAAAGTCTGAAAGGAATCAACACTGCCACAATGGAATTTTTCTAAGACTTGGTTTAAAAAACCCACCCACACACAATATGCAAACATTACACTTGCAAAATTAAGCATGCAAACAGAAATGAACGGAATTAACATTGCCTCATGCAGCCTCAGATTTATCGCCCTACATGTATGCCTCAGGAGACTGTCTTTATGTGATTTCATACTTCCTTCTGAAGCTATTGAACTGCTATTCAATATTTTATTTTATCCTTGTTCTTCGATGCGTGCACCCATGCCTTATGTACTACCCCCAACCTCTGAAGACAGCTCTGGGCTATTCTATGGTGCCAATCACTGCAGCATAAATGTTTCGCAAGTATTAGTGTTTTTCATAACATCTGGTGGGATGAAGAAATGGCATTATCCACTTCTCCCTTTACAGATGGAGAGCTGAGCCAGAAATGTCAGTCCAAAATATCCCTTAATTCTGAGCGCCCAATTTGAGGCACGGGGCTTGTTTTGTTTTGGTTGGGGTTTTTTTTTTTTTTTAAGCTTTCTTAGCACTATATAGAATATTACATATTGAAGGTGCAACTGCCATCAACTTCAGTTGTAGCTGTGGGTTCCCAGTTCAAGTGGGACTCCAGGTTCCCAACCTGGACACTAAAAAAACAAAGACTAAACAACTAAACCAACTATGAAAAAAACTGGTTCAAAGAGCCTTTCCTAGAATTGCAGAGGAACAGACAGAATTCAGTTCTCCAGGATGCCATTCATCTACTTTAACTATGAGACTATCCTTTCTGTTCCGGCAATCACCTGCCTCATTTACTGCAGGTAACTTCCTTCACTTACATATACCAGATTAATTCCCAGAGAAGGTCCATCCTATTCACTGAATGAGGCAGGAGCCCTATGGGAAAAAAAAAAAATTCTCTCATATTTAAAGACTGTATCACAATGCATACAGATAAGGAAGACATATCAAGGTTGTACAAGTAACCTTAATTCTGGCATTTCCTAATTTTTGAGCACTTGATTTTGCAGCCTTAATGTTTTTTAGTATAGCTTTGTGTTCCATTATATGTATCCATATAACCCAATGTGGTCTTGGTCCATTATTAAGGCTACTAGAAGCCACACAATGAATACAAATAAAAGTCAGCACAAGATTGTGTGCATTACAAATGTGTTGAACAATACTTACGATGGTGCTATGTCAAGGTGGTTGATGCTATAGCCAGATGTACAAAAGCCTCCTAGTGTTGTTGATATGGTTAGGAAAGCAACAGCCAATGTATAGTCACAGCCTATGAATCCAGCAGCTACTAAAAATACAGCAGGTCCAATCATTCCTTAAAAACAAAGTTATTATAAAACTTTAGCGTATCACCACTTAAATGATGCTTAAATGTTAGCGTATGTCCTCTCGATGGCAAGTTATTTATTTATTTTTTACAGGTACCATTTATGCCACTTTTACTGCCACCTAGTGTACAAAATAGTATACTACTAAAATTACAGTGGGATTTTACAATTTTATGATCATGATCAGAGAGAATCTAGGGTGCCTATCACTGCATAAGCCTACTGAAGTCGATGGTGGTCAGAGATGGAAGGGCAAGCTTTAACTGGATAAAAGATTTCAACATGAATCAGTTTTGGTAAACTCTTAGCATAGCAAAAAGCAGCCTGATAAATTAATGGAGGCTGTCCTGTTACTGATAAAATAAAGCAAGACTAGAGTTCTTTGAGATGTGTGTTATGAACAAAGAATCCAAAAATGTAGCTTTTACACAAACTGGTGATAACTTCTGAAAGTCAGGTATCTGCAGCTGGCAGGAACTTCAAGAGATCAGCTAGTTTAGCTGCCCTGCACTGAGGCTGGATCAATTATACCCAGACTATTTCTGACATTAGTTAGAAGTTTAACTAATCTGTTCTTGAAATCTCCAGTGATAGAAATACCAAAACTTACTTAGGTAACCAGTTTCTGTAGTTTACTACCTTTTTATTGTAAGTTTTTCTTATTATCTAACCTTTACTGAACTGTTTCTTGCCTTACCTTCAGTGTACATGGCGAACAAATGGATTACAGTTCTTTTCTAAAAGAATGTTACCCCCATGTTCTCTTTTTTTAGTTTGAATGATTTTGGTCGGTTTAATTTTTCCTTAAAAAGCATACATTTTCAAGGTTCTCATAATTTTTGTTGATCACCCTTAGATTCTCTCCATTTTGGTTAAATCCTTCTTAAAGTGTGATGCCCCAAACTGGACACAGTAAACCAGCAAAGCAAAATTAATTATCTGTTTTATCTTACGTCCAACAACCCTATTAGTAGCCTATCAGAATGACATTTCTTTTGTATAGCATAATCACGTTGCTGACTCCAATCTATGTTGTGATCCATTAGAACTCCCAGAACCTTTTCTGAAGAATTGCTACCTGACCAGTTATTTCCCAATAGATATTTGTCCATTTTGTTTCTCCTACTTCCCATGAAAAATTCAGTCAAGATATCTTTTGACTTTGACCAATTATTTCAATTTGCCAAGTTCCTTTTGAATTCTACTCCTGGCTTCCAAAGTCTTTGCATCCCTCTTTATCTAGCATAATTTGCAAATTAAGTAAACTTTCATTGCCATCCTTCCGATCATTAGATGAAAATATTGAATGGAACTGGGCCCAGGAGACACCTTTGTAGGTTTTGCCTTAATGCATGCTCTCTGTTTTAAAGTGAAGTAACTGTGATACAGTTCATATTAATAGAAATCTCAAATGTATTTTCAATTTGCTTATAAAAATGTGAATATGAGGCAGTGTCAAAAGCTGTATTAACAAAAAAACCCCAAGGGTTAGCACTTCCCTTTTACCACTAGGCCAGTTATCCTGACAAAGCAATTCTGATTTGTTTGACATTATTTTTGTCAAATTCATAATGGCTTTTTTTGGTCACAGAATTATCGAAAAGTAGGACTGGAAGGGACTTGCAGACTTCCAGATGTCATCTACTCCAACCCCCTGTTTAAGGGAGGATAATCCTGATCCAAACCATCCCATACAAATCCCTGTCTAAGCCTGCCACCAAAAGCACCTTAATTTGCCACAGGTAAAACAGAAGGACAAGGGTCATTAGGATAGAAAGAGGTATCACTGAATGAAGCAGATCAGCTGCGTTGTGATGTGTCACCCTTTGACCAGGCCCTTCATGGTGCGGGACAAGAGGTGATGTTATCTCCCTGCTTTCCCTGCTCAGCCAGATCTATCCCTGGAGATCACCCAAGATAGATCCGGCTGAGTGAGGAAGAGCTCCTGTTCAGCCAGATCAAGAGCACAGGTTTGGCTGAACAAGAAAGCTCAGCCAGATCCACTTCTCTGCAATCATGGAACCCCTCCCCAACTTACAGAGAGGCACCCCAAGACTCCCTGGGGTGCCTCTCCTAAGTGGGGAAAGCACACAGGCGCTCTGCCCTCAAATCCCCAAGAGAATCTGCCTGGGGTGGCAGGAGAGTACAAGGAGACTGAGCTTCTTGCACTCTCCAGTCACCTTTTGGTGGCAAAGTTAAACAAGGATTTGTATGGGATGGTTTGGTTCAGAATTATCCTCCTTCAAGCTGAGAGCTGGACTAGGTTACATCTGGAAGTTTGCAAGTCCCTTCCAGCCCTACTTTTTGATAATTCTATGTCCAAAAAGAGCCATTGTGAATTTGATAAAGATAACATCAAACAAATTGAATTTCCTTTGTCAGAATAACTGGCCTAGTAGTAAAAAGGAATGCAACAGACATGCTAACCGTTGCTTTTTTAATACAGCTTTTTTAAATCCTGCTCACACTGCCTGTACTCTTCAACCACAGAGGTAGCAGACATCCTCCACAAAAAGCCACAAGAGTCTATTACCAGTTTTGTTGTACCACTGATTCTTTCATGTGGCACCAGAAAAGGTATTGATGTTTATTTGCTCAGCATTTGTGCTGCCATAGTTTTTTTTATGGTGGCACAAATGAGACATCAGGCAACATTCGTTTCAATCTTCAGCATCCTGCTGCTGCCGTGGTTGTTAAAATGCATCTGAGAGATCCAAGGAAGAGGGCCACACCCTCTCCTAAAAGGCAAAAAACCCTAAAGTTCATACCAATCTAACCATGGCGTAAAATTCCTTTCTAATCCCTAATGTGACACTAACTGAAGACCCTCTAAATCCTAAGCTCTGGCTATCACCACCAAATGCTTTTGAAGAATTCAAAAAAACCCCTGATGTCTGTAGCAATGGGAGGGGAAAAAATTCTTCCTGGCCCTACGTGGCAAACAACATACCCCAGAACATGGGAAAAACAAGAACACCCTGTTACCTAGGGACAGCAAGCATGACTCCATACATCACACTAACTGGACAGCCCAAACTCTTTTCTGTATCCCCTCCTTAAACTTACCCGCTTTAATCTTCTTTTATAGCTAAGCTGGTTATGGAGTTTTGGTTCATTCTCTTGCTGTGGCTGCAGCGCTCCTCTTGTTATATCCTAATAATCCATGTGAGAAGGGGCTGGGGCCTCCTGAGCTTCCACTGTTGTTATTTACAGAGCACTATAGGCTCCTTTAGATCAGGGGTTGGCAATGTTTTTGGGCAGAGTTCCAAAAACACTTGCAACCTCTACTTGAAAGATGTTGGCATGCCAGCGGCGGATGGTGGAGGAGCCGCAAGGGGCCTGATCCTTATTGTGGCAGTACAGGGCCCTTTCCCCACTGTCCACCCTGAGGTGCACATGCCAAGAAAATGCCTTCACATGATGCACTCTGGTATGTGTGCTGGTGGTTGCTGACCCGTCCCAGATCATAGATTCTAGGGTCGGAAGGGACCTCAGTGGGCCATACAGTCTGACCCCCTGCCCCAGGCAGGTAAGAAAAAGGGTCAAACCTGTGATCATGTGATCCTAGCCAGGTGCTTGTCCAGTTTCCTCTTGAAGACCCCCAAGGATGGGGTGAGCACCACCTCCCTTGGAAGCCCATTCCAGATCCTGGAAACCCTGACTGTGAAGAACCCTTTTTCTAATGTCCAGTCTAAACCTACTCTCCAGTAGCTTATGGCCATTGTTCCTTGTTGTTCCAGGAAGTGCCCTGGTGAACAGATCACTGCCAACTTCATATGTGCCACAAGGTCCCCTCTCAGCCTTCTCTTGGAGAGGCTGAAGAGGTTAAGGCCCCTTAGCCTTCCTCGTAGGGCCTTACCTGCAGGCCTCCAATCAGACAAGTGGTTCTTCTTTGGATCCTCTCCAGCCTGTCCGCATCCCG